TGTTAAAGGAAGCGATTACGATAAAGAGGGAGCGCATCGGGGAAGCATATGCACCACACGAATCAGTTACTTGGCTGCCAGGGAAGCGAGGTGTGGCGCTTTCACGACGAAAGGTGCTGAGCAGGACTTCGAAAGCTCCGCCCCCAAAAGCGATCCGCCCACTAGTTTAGTTGGTGATTTGGACGAGCTGCGTTGCCAGCAGCGGCACAACTGAGCAACTCGATTGGAGCGTGGTTTGGCATGGTGCCACCAAACGCGTTGCGGTGAACTCGTTCATACGTCCGCTTTCTGAGCTGTTACCTGTTCATGAGTGAAAACCAACGGCCAAAAAGGGGTCCCGTTTTGCGTTTTCTTGACGGATTTTTCTGCTTTTTTCGCTACTGGCGTACCATTGAGCACCACCACGTCACACTAAACCTTCTTGAATTTATCGTAATCGCTGCCTTTAAGAGGCAGTAAGCGGTCATGAAGCTGTTTAGAAAAGCTTGTCAGTGGAGCTGTGCGAAGGGCAAGAAAATGGCGTGAAGAACTCGCAAACAAGAATCTTCTCGAAAGTGTTGGGGGCAAAGAACATTCGGCAGGCTGATGTTGTTGTACTTGTCGAGATGCATTTCTAGCGACCCCTCATGGCACATCTACAATATGCGTGACGTGATTCACAGGAAAAAGGAAGGAGACAAGCGAAGGGTGTTGTTGAATAAGGCGGCGAGAGTGAGCGGCTTAAAGCGTGTTCGACAGCTTTTTTGTTATGCTTGGACAGCGATGCACTTTATGTTCGCACTGCATTCAGTAATGGGGATTATTTCCATGAACGTGATTTGTCGGCATGTCTGTTGTCGACGATGCTAGGAAGAGATGTTGTCACCTTTTTCATTCAATTCGTCTGGAAATCGTGTTATCCACGGGCGCATTTTTATGCTGGCCCTCTTAATGGTGCTTTGATGGAATTAAATTCTGGGAACAGCGATAGAATTGAGCTATGGGATTTAGTTTTGAAGTTTGGATTGCAGCAATTTCGCTTGAGTGCAATTTAGTAGCATGCATGAGAAATTGTAGCAAAATTAATTATTCTTCCTTTTGCAGGACTCAAAAATGAAAGGAGACACTGGATTCTGTCAGGTCATTATTTAAAGTCATACAAGTCTATGCAATCTTTTTTTGTTTCATTTTTTATGAAGGGCAGGGCCATGCGCATTATAACTTCGAAGGGGAAAATGGAAATAGGTTGAACCCAAGACTTCACGTAATAAAAATGTGGATGTACTTCGAAAGTTGATTGAGTAGAGCGAGGGGTATTGCTAGCCAGATAAAATTAGGATGTAAGCGACGCGAGAAAGACAGTGAGTTAGAACGTCACTTCATGGGAGACAATGCGCAGCCAAGAGCCCTGCGGCACTGAGTACAGGGATCAGACAAGAGAGCGTAGTGGAAAGCAATGCACAGAAACCGTGTTGCATAAACGACATAGATGGTTCAGCACATCCCTAGTTTGGCAGGGCCCTAGTTCCCTGGTCGTGTATCAAGCACGAGATGAATTTTTTACCCTAGCACACAGCCATATCTTCCTGACGGAAAGCTGTGATTCATTTAATTTAATCGTGGATAATTTAATCACTTTTGAGCTAATTTATAGAGAGTAGGGGATGGAGTTTCTCTAAGTTTATAGTCTGAGGCGTCTCATTAATCTACGTAAGTAGTACACTGATTGAGCTGTGCAAAATCTGTACTTACTGCTAGGCATTCTCGGTAGAGTAATAATAAATCAAATAGCTATTAAGAAGAGTGGGTACAGTTTCCGAAATCCATACGATAAGCGCGCACGTGATGTCAAAAACTGCTGACATTTCTTTTGCTTTTTTTTATTACTAATGGATCAATTACCATAACTACGTACGTTCCACTCAGTCGCGTAAGGTGCTTTCAAAATTAAAATTAATGGTTAGCAGACCGTTGGAGGAGGAAAAGTTTTGTTACCTTAGAGCGTTGAAATTTTAGGTTTGCTGTTGTAAACGCTTGTTTGGCGCATCTCAAATGGATTTTCAGTGACAATTTTCCATTGCTTCCGAAAATTTTTTTCCATTGCTGCCGCTTTCAAAAAACCCTCTGTCTAGTGAACGGAAATTTCCGTAGAGAGAAGTTGGGGTACGAAAACGCCACCGGAGGATAAGAGAGCAACTAGTGCTTCCGCAGCACCCATTGTGGAGAGGTTGAGCGCGCCATCATGGTGACCAGACTTATCAGGAGAATCGCACATCCCCGGGAAGCTGCTGTCTGTTCATGGGAAAATGCATAGAACTCGCATAGTCCCTTGCCCATCTTTCCCTTCTTGGTTTTTAAAATTCTCCTTCTTTTTGAGTTTCGCATAAGCATAGTTCATTAGTGCTTGGTTCTTTTTTTCTGTCGGTGGAATTTCCTGCGAGTGCAGTTTTTAAGTTCATCAAGCGATGCTAAATGCTGCAGTGGCTGTCAGTGAATTCTAAGATATTGCACTTTAGAAGTTCATTATCGTGCCTGCCTAGCGTCCAATCAAGTTCTATGGGGCACATTTTGAGTTAAAATAGAAATAGCTTTACCGAGAGTCAGCCTTATTTCCGTCGTTGGCGCAAAAGGACGTGCTTGTGTGAGTTGTTCTGCGAGAATTGTTGGCGGACTTTTTTTTAAGCGCTCGATTTCTCATCTTCCACTGAAACATGTTGGCATTTCTCGGGAAGGATATTTTGTTATCCTGACCGGGGATTTTCATGGAAGAAGTGGAATCAATGACGCATCTCAACCCGCTCGGCGGTAGAATAACGATGTCTTCTCGTCGACATCTCCAAGTGAACGTCAATCACGTTTTTATGAGTTTTGAGAGTTGAAATGCTGTTTCCCGTCAGTTCTGCGGGGGTTGTTCGAAGGGTCCAGTAGTTGATTGAGGGTTTCAGCTTTTAGAGAATCTGTATAGGATTAGAACCCATAACTGTAATTAACTCAGCTTTGAGGTATTTTTAGTACATCTTGGCTCTATTGGGTTTCCCAAGGCACTAGACCAGAGTTCTGTTGTAATGAATTCATTTGAGAGTGAGATCATTTTATATTTAAGAGTTGTAAATGCGCGTTTATTGTGAGGATACAGACGCGGCATCAGATAATCAATATATCAATAAAAACAAGGAGCAATCGATATCACTATTTCTTTTTAATGTTATTATGGACCATCTGGTATGCCATGCGCGTTGCTAAGTCGGTATCTGCGGCTTCACAAAGGTACAGGAGTCAGCAAAGGTTCGTATTCCCCTGACCAGATCCTCGATGTGATCCTGGCGATTTGAGCACTGTTGTGGTGCTCATAAGGAAAGCATGAGGCTTCAAAACTTACTTTCATAGAGGTTTTCGAGGGAGAAAATGATCGTATTTGATGTGCAAGGTTATTTTTTTTTATCACCTAGAAATTCGGTTCGATACCGGCTGGATGGAGTGAATTCGGCCAAAGGTTAAGGAGCAGCTTATATTTGCCAGTTCAGCCACTTCTCTTCTTGGAGATTAGACTTGCTTAGTCGATTACCCTAGTCCCTGCCTCCTTGCAGAGCACCGATGTGAGCAAGTCAGCTTTGTCAACTTTCCGCTACTTCCCTGACTTCGAGGGGAAAATACATGATTTGGTGATTTTCAGTCTATTTTCGCGGGTTGCAATAAAATATAGCATCCTTATTCTCAAAGGCGAATGTCATAGAAAGCCACGAAATTCCCGTTTTCGCCTTGAATGTTTGCGGGTGTCTTCGCGGCTGTGGCGAAGAAGCCTACTTTAATGCAATTAGTGTCATTGTGAGCGCAATTTCAAGTGCACAGCGCCTGGCTATATGTTCATGGGCGTTTTCAAAGGGCAAAGCAACGGCTTGGACGCCATTTATTCTAGTTGGTTGCGAATTGCGTCCGATATATCATTACCAAAGTACAAACGAATGAATTTGCCTCAATTTATATAAATCAAACCAAGAACAACGAAAAATGCGCATAAATAAAAAGGGAACAGAAACATGCGTCGAGATGTGGGCGCCAGTACCAAAAAGTACTGGTCTGGATGTTCTGAGCATGAATAGAATCAATTGTCTGTTGGGCAAAGTTCAGCTGAGGGGCGTATCTGTGATTTATCAAGGGTCGTGATCGTGGCTGAGTGTAAATGGACATGTTTCTGTAAAACTTCTCGAGACAGGGGAGGGGATTTTTTTAGCGAACCGAGGATACTTTCAAAATTTCGCTTGCTGTTGGACGACAGCAGTTTTAAAGGGCGACATGTGGCTTGGATCGAACCAGGACTCTACCGGCTACACTAACAAGAACTTGAGAGATGGAGAAAGAGGACGTCCTCCAGCGCTCCCTCCAGGGATGTCCTTGCCGGTCTCGTAATTTGCATGCGATGGTTGGCTGTGGCTCCCAAAAATGCCCAGCTCGTAATTGCAGAACGATTTTGGAGGTGCTGGTTGACCGCATGTGCTATTCAATAAGATGTAAGAAAAACAAATTTATGTACACATAAAAAGCGCAAAGATAATTATAATATTCTTGTGGGCATTATATAGTCATTTAACAGTTATGTGCACCATACTCGGACCGGGAATTCACTAATGAGATTCGAAATATAACGTCGACAAAGTCAAAAAAAAATGAAAAGAAAGAGACGATGAAACATACTTAGTAAAGCCAATTATAGATAGCTTTTTTCTCGGAAATCGGAAATTAGCGTTAGAAATCATATTCGAAATGAACAACACTGAAATAAAAGTTATGCAACGAGGCTCTCTCTGCTTTTCGCTCATCCCTCTCTATTTGGATGATTAGTGATTAGCAGAGCAGTACGAGCTAGTGGTCGGTGGCCGTCATCTGAACAGGATTAGTAGAAGAGGAGGATAGTGAAAAAGTGAACATGTCAATAGCCTATGTTGTGATGATAGGTGGGCAATATCATGTGTTAGCCGAATCGAGTGAGCGGTCCCGTGTGGAAATTTTCTAGATTGGGGTTGTTATCCAAGTGTCAGTGCCGGATGAGTCTTGTCTCCGACAACGAGCACCTAGAATATGAGGAGTAGAGGTTGTTCCGGATGAAAACGATGATCGGTTCATCTTCCCATTGATTTTGAAGCAGAGCCAGGGAAGTCATGCGGGAGGATGGGGAGGCATTCCCTAGGATCTGTTAAGGAATAAACACAATAATGGCATGCCACTAGCTCGCACATATCGTACATCAAACATAAAGCTGATGATGTTTCTGTCAAAAGACACCAATGACGGGTAGTGCAATGGTTGAGGGGATGAACGAAATAGGGAGAGAACGTCAAAAAATTGACGATCAATAAACAAATCAAAAAGCAGGAACAGGAGGTGTGAAGGGACTTGCATAGGTAAGGTGAGACGTGGTGGATCATAAGATGGGAAAAATGCACGAAAGGATACGCAAATGTCCGTATCTGTGGTGGAGACTGTGGATAGCAGTGAGTGATTGTGGATGATGTTGTGCTGTATCACACCTGTGTCGGACAGTCGTCACCTCCACCTGAAGTAAGACCCGCTGCAGCTATCGACTTCTTGCTGACCCGCGCACCGATCGTCGAACGACGTTGTGATAAGTCGGGAAGTGCTTCAGGTTCAGGGGGACTGAAAATAATGAGAATTTGGAGGGTGTAAATGGAAAATTTCTGAATATGGAGAAAAAGCGGAAAAAGCGCCTCACGAGGACGATTGGGGAGAGGGCATACCACAATGGTGTCCCAGAGTCTAACCGGAAGATCTCCCAGGTTGGGAAGGAAAACCAATGGTCTGCAGAAAAGTCCCGCTTTCAACCTCTCTGGAGGCAATATCTTGGGAAAGCAGCTTCCTCTTTTTGTAAAATGTCCTTTGTTTTCTAATTCCCTTCTTTTGAAACACTTATTCGGAAAGCTTTCTAGCTGTTCCCTGGTCGAAGTGAGGGCTGTGGCCGGCAAATCGACAACGAGGCCGTCTGTCTGATATTCGCTTCAGAGTGTAATTTATCAATGCCGCGAGAGGCAAGACAGAGAAAACGCGAATTGATCCTTTTTGGGCTTCTATTCGGAGAGAATCTTTTGCCCTTGTGTCTCACTTTTCGTAGAGAAGTGGATTTATGGATTGCCATCGCTAAAGGGCAACTTCAGGGCCTCGTGAAAAAAATTCATAAGAAGTGAAAAATTTACTGCTTTGCCCTCTTGATCGTCATAAAGGCCAGGAATGCGAACATCACGGCGCACAATGCGGCACCAGTGGCGAACACAGCTCTCCTCCATCCTGGTTCACGACTGAATGCAGCTAACCATATGCAAATCGCTACACTGATGACGGAACCCATAACACAGAGAAATGTCTGGAATTAAGAAAATCGATTTTTAGTGTTCTAAACTTGCGGCATTTCAAATGCCCCTCACATAAAAAAAGGCAGCTTAGGGTTATGGCAGCATTGAGGAGAGGAGATAAAACAGGTAATGCTCACCTGTCCACCTGGCGTCATTCGTGAGTGCGATTGTGATGGTGCTGTTAAAATCTGCTTCACACCTGTTTTTCCACCGTAAAGAGCTGAATCGCTTTGGAAGCTGCCCTGAAGTGGGGGGAATATTTGCGTGTGTTGAGCTGAAGCTTCATTCATATTTTAATGCATGAGTAAGATGTTTTTAGGCCGTTCCGACGGAGTGTAGTCTATCTTCTTGCATTGGGACTCATACTTGGAATTCACAAAATAGAAGAAGGCTTTACTCACCTTAACAATACTAGACCGCTTTCGATCAGCACCCAAAGTGGGAGGTCTCGGTTCGCTGGAAGCCATTGTTTTGTGCTGTGTTGTTGGGTAGAAGTCTCACCTATTACGCGTCACGGCGAAATGGTAGTCGTTCGTTGCCTGGAAATGGATTTATTGGGAATCGCACTCGTAAATCATTCAAAATTCAACGTCGAAAGAGTTGTGGGTGCTGTGCGGCCCTAGCGAAGTCCTGGTGAGTTTGGTGAATTCAATTTGGCAATGAAGCCAGAGTCAGTGGAAGTAAATGAAGAGCGACATCGAGGGAATGTGTATGAAAAGCAAACAGAGCACCAGCGGTGTTCGTTGTCATGAAAGAAGATGGATTTCTGCTAAAGCGTTCGGTTAGGTACAAAAAGAGAAGGGGAAAGTAATCGCATCATCAACAATAGCAAATTAGTAATGTTTGCTAGGTACAAAAAATATGAAACTTTTTGTAAGCCTTATATTTTTTCTTCGAAGTCTTCGAAAAGTTGACAATCCAATCGTGGACCCTTTCATACAAATGATCTAAATAAATACGATAATTAATATATTGGATCACCGAGCTCCTAATCTTTAGTGTTTCGTAAAATTTCCTTGTATTTTTATGGAGATGGAGCTCTTTCAAAAAGCTTGATTTGGCGCTATCGCAGGACATGGTGGTCCTGTAGGACTAGCCTAGGAGGGAGCAGGGACATAGAGGGAAATGAAAGGCGCTCACGCATCTAAATTCTCCCCTCTCCCCCGCCTGAGGCTCCTGTTTTTGCAAAAAGGAAGATGTTTAACGTGGTTTTGTATGCGTTGCCACAACAAGCCCCCGTATTTTGCGATGGCGCCCCTTATTTGACTCCATTCAAATAATGTTTTTTGGAGAAGTTTAATTTCAATGAAGAAACTAAAAAGTGTTTTAAAAATAGGAGCAAAGGACAATATAGTAGCGAAATGTAGTGTAGAGAAGAGAGAAATCGACCACAAATAGCGGGCACACCTTCGTCTCACGTAAAACACCACCCTCACCCCACCGCTGTCGTGGCGCCTTTCCTCTGAATCGGTGTAATATGGAGCTAATAGCGGCTGTGAAGAGGGGCACACATGTGTGTGTGTGGATGCCACGAACAAGTATCAATCAAAGAAAACACATGAGAGAATGCGTATTTGTTCGGTGTTGGAGATAAAATATTATTCTAGTGACTCATTAGTTCGGTTAGCAAGATCACCTCAAAATTAGCATAAAAATATGCAGATTTCCTCAGCCTTCTGAACAGAGAGGGAGGAGGAAGTGATCGCAGGTGACCAACTATTGGAAAAATGAATCAACTGGAAGCAGTGGGAGGCGGCGGAGAGTCATATGGCTAGTATATGTTGAGGACGTACGGGTTGAGATGTGGCTGAGACTGAGGCGGCGACGGCAACGGCGATGGCTGAGCCTGAGGCGGCTCTGGATGTCAACAACGGCAAATTCCACGCTCACGCATGACCAATTAGAATCGCAGCAACGTCGTCGTTGCCGTCGGCATGGTCGTCGTGGAATGATTGTTCTGACAAGAACGGATGTAGGTTTCGCATTACTGAAGTCGGCGACATGAAAAATAGCGTCGGCGCAGGCGAGGGTAGGTCAGCACGTTTCCTTCCTTGAACTCTTAAAGGAGGTATGGCTGCTGCTAAACGGCCTAATAATCTCTTACTGCTGCCATAGTTCATTTTAAAGCGGTATCCAAAAAAATCTTATGGTTTCTCGTTCAGTCAAAGTTTATAGGGTGTGGGCTTCATGAGAAGAACATCAAGCATTTCTCACGTATCGATTGGTCTAGTGATCGCTGACGATTGTCATGGCGACGAATATTGCAACTTGATAAATATTGCTAAAGGTTCCAAGCGCCAACCAGCAATAAAATTCGGTGGTAATTGGCGGTTGTCCTGAAATGCCGCGAGACGAAATGGAGTTGTTATTCACAACTTCCTTCAGCGACGGAAGTATCCTTCATCAACTTCTCAATCCGTTCAATTCGCAAATCTGCTGAAGGCATCAGAGCTGGTAATGAGTAGCTGCTTGCCAATGTGGATAACCTTATAGGGGTCATGGTTTTCACAAATATTCCTTCCTCCCCAGCCGTTTGAATTTGGATGGGTGAGGGGAATGACATGGTAAAGGTCAGGGAAAAATGAATTTCTTGACGGAAGTATCCTTCATCAACTTCTCAATCCGTTCAATTCGCAAATCTGCTGAAGGCATCAGAGCTGGTAATGAGTAGCTGCTTGCCAATGTGGATAACCTTCATAGGGGTCATGGTTTTCACAAATATTCCTTCCCCCTTGAATTTGGATGGGTGAGGGGAATGGCATGGTAAAGGTCAAGGAAAATTGAATTTCTTTGCGACTTAAGAGGTTGGTGGGGGGGGGGGGCTGAGGATGGAAAGATGAACACAAGCGCCAATTTTCTGTTCTACTGCTAGGAATCATTTCCCAGAAGGATAGCCTGAGGGAAATGAAATGTCACACGTGAGTCACAAGTTTCTAAGGAAAGAAGTGAGATTGTTAGCACAAAATACTGTGATAAATGAGGAGTAAACAAGCGCTAAAACGATGTCTCGCTGCAAGTCTGTCATCAGGAGTGTTTTCGTGATTACAAAGGTAGAATCAACGTTTTGAAAGTGGAGGTATAAGGAGTAGAAGCTTTATGAATGGTTAATTGTAGCTTTTGTTATGATGAACGGTTTTTGTATCGGAAAAGGGTGAAAGCTGAAAAAAGAGCACTTTATAATGAAGTGTTGAATGGAACATTAACTTAGGTTGAGCGCCTCATATGTGAGCTTGAAAAGCAGTGCTTTTATAGATGAGAGATTGAAGATCAACTAGATTGTTGGCTGACGGACTCTACTTGAGCCGCCATTATGAATAGGAGACGGAGCGAAAGTTGTGTGTGTCTCGTTATTGGCTAATCATGCATAGTCTTGATGTGGCTATTTCAGGACGGAGACATGGAAAACAACGATGAATCGACCGACTTGAGCAATATTGAAGGGCTGATCGAGCATTGTTCGAATCTAATCGAAGCGAAGTATCTTATGCAACATCTGTTCAACGCCTGTCTAGAGCATGCTGTTGCCGCTGCTAAGGCTGACTCTCATAATAAGGTGGGCCAAGTGACTCCTGTTTCATTTGTTGTTGTAAGCAGTTCTACTCAGTTCCTGGTTCCGCAACACTCGGCCGAGATTGAATGCTGAGCAGTTGGAGGAACTATCAATGATTTATCGGAGGGCGCTAGACCCGAATGCACATTTTGGCGAAGTAGTGGGTCACGGAGCGTGGCGCTTTTAATCGGACTTATACCTAGCCGCGACGTTGTTCTAAGAAGTAAATGGTTGTTTAACCCATTCGCGACCGCGCAGGATTGCGCAATAGCAGGAGAGTCAGGAGATTTTTCTTCAATAAAATTTGAGTGGATGGAGATTTCCTCTGCCCAGGGCTGGCGTAGATGAGCGAGGGTATGAAGATTCTTTTCCATGGAAGAAAACTTTCCAAATTCCATTTGAAACCGGCAGCCACCGTGGATACCATTGTCCCGAGTGAGATCTTTGGCAGCCACCGGTGGCTGCCATTGTCACGAATGGGTTAATAGCTAAATGTCAGCGCTTTCGTCCTACAGTACTTGGCGTCATTCTTTCCTACTATAGCACTGGTGTTCTTTATAGATCACCTCGAGTCTGACTATTGCTGAACCTCTAGCATATTTGGTGTTTTTTCAAATATTTCACAAATCTACTACAAAGTTAAGCAAATTCATCGATATAACCACTTAGGTGTTCCTTTAAGGGCATTGAATTTGTCCCAACTGGGCTAAGGTGAAGAAATATGCAGGGCAGTTCTCGGTATTGCACTGAAGATTCACGGGGGAGCTAGTAAGAACTGTTCAATGGCGTTAGTCAAATACATTTGGCCTCGTTCAAATCTGCCTGGCTTCGTCCAAATCTGCCCCTCTTCCAATGGAACTCCCTCGGTCTACACATAGAGTATGGAAAACGTCTAGTTACGTATTAAAGTTTTCAAGAAATGTTACTGATATAAGTTTTCACAGGTTCGGATTCCCCTATCTTCTCTTCATTCGTGGCTGAAATAGATAGGAATTTTCAGAGGAAGAGAGGGCAGAGGCCCAGTCAGTTTATCGATGTGGATTCGAAATCACCCTCCCTAGCTCCCCTTATGTGCCTCCTAATCTCATTATTTCAATCAATAAGGGTTTTATATGAAGCCCGGAAGAATACGAAGCGCAATCATAACGATATCCACTGCATGTCAAGTAATGACTGGGCAATAATGCTTCAAAATGGCTTTGGCGGGGGAGGGATTAGGGAAGTAAAGAGCTCTGTTGGGGTTGTTAGTATCCCTGAAAATCTCCGAAATGTAACGGCAATAGCGCCAAGTGAAGAGTGCCATCGAACCGAGACGTTGTGGGTAAAAGATACGCGCGCTGCCACACCGGTTTTTCCAATATCCGATAATGTCAGGATAGGCTTTTAGTGACAACAGCGCGGCGTCATTGCTGTACGGGCTCGTTGCCCTTCAGATATGTGTCATGCAGGATATCTCGGGTGGCTCTCTAGGGACGACTGAGGTGGATGCAGTTGGCTCACACATCCCTGCTGTACTGAATTTGATGTTTGAAAAGTTCTTGCTGCTGGACAGCGGTTGAATCCCATGGGCGATGGATCATATGCTGTCGACCTTTGAAAGGGTATCTGACGGCATTTGAGATATCGAGGACATGTTTCACATGGGTCCGAGGACCACTGCACTATGAAATCATGGTCCTAGCCCTGTGTGAGTAAGAGGAAGAGCACAGCTCCTTTTTCTTTGTTTCTTTGTCTTCTTATGGATTATAAAGTGCAATAGTAGGCCGCTAGTGAGGTTAGACATTGAAAACGACCACATGTCATATTTAGTACAAACTGCTCAAGAGTGCGTTCTTTCAAGGAGCTGCTTGTTCTTTTGTAATAATCATAAGAGCCGCATGCCCTTAAGCGCAATTCTATTTTGTCCCGCAGCATTCA